TTGAAAACGCATCACCACCACAGTTCGCGGGCACTATCGACTCGTCCGCGCTCGCCGCGGCCGCGCCCCAAATCGTGAAGAAAGTGGGGGAGCCATTTGAGACTGACAGCAATCCTATTCACCGCTAAATTATCTGAATTCAAGAAGAATGCTGGATGTTTACAGTTGTGAGCCAGTTCAGCTCCAGACGTTATCACGCGTATTCTCGATGGACTTCAGCGAAACTGGGAAAGGTCTAACACATTCAATAGTGAGGTGGTTAATGGAGTACCTCATGCTGATATTCCATGGGTCCTCCAGTTTCGCTAAAGCCTGCCGTGTGATGCGCGCGATAGCGGGCGGAGCAAAACTGGTAATTTCCTAAACCACCTTCGGTTTCTCTACCCTTAACACGCGATAGGAGCTTCTTTATGAATTTGTTTAGACCTTGAAGAGACTCATCTATGGTTCAGGTGCAGACTGTCAGCCACAGTCATAATTGCAAAAGCACTAACTACATCAGGAACGAATACAGTTACAAACTTGCTGGCTGTACCTTGATCAAGACGCGACAGGCGCCTTACTTCAATTAACGCTGACAGCAGCAGCCCCAACCAAGAACTTGTACTCTTTTGCATCCTACCCAGAACTAGACGTTTTCTTCACTTTACTGCGGACACGTGATGAGTGCTCTTATTCTCATTCTCTCTTTCTCCCCATTTTCGTGTTAACTATCTCTTCCAGTAGCTCACATTCAGTCCATTCACGTTCACACTAATTCGCTATTCTCACACAATGTAAGCAGAAGCACGAATGAAATGCTACTTTGTTCTCCCCCAATAAAATAGACCCCATTTACTCCCCTTATGTACACCAACCGAAGCGTGTGTTTTCTAAAACAAACTTGACGCTAACTACGTCGATCCTTCTCGACCCTTAATTGCTCACCTTCCAAAAACATCTCTTGCGCTTCTGGATTGATTCTTAAACAACTCTTCCTCTGCATGTGATCGATGAGTGGAATTTACACAGCCGTCATTTTTTGTCATCCGTTTGCTTACGAGCTCACATGTTTGCCGTGATGTGCCATACCAAAAACATCAACCCCTGTTTGAGCAAAGCAGAATATTATAGACGTCCACAGCACTGCTTTCTGCGTATCGTAATCGTTTTCCAATATGAGGAAGGAATTTTCGCGAAAAAAAAAAGAATTCGCACCACTGGACACATGAATAGCTCATCTTGGTCAGTGAAAAGAAGCCCCTCACAATCTCTTTTTATTCAGGATTTTCATCAATTTTCTTATGTTTTGCTATTGAGCCTGCCATTTAACGGTTGATGCAACTCTCTCTTCCATGCCTTAGAATAGCATCGGAGGAAAGGGGTGCGTTTAAGGGGGTCGTGTGCAGCAGAACCCGGCGGAGGATAGGGAATTCTTCTCCGGGTACTGCTGCAGCCCCTGACGTATCCTTTTGAATGATAGGCATCGTTTTCGTGCTTGTCCTATACACTTTTGCAGAGGTAGCACGAGTCCACTGTTTTATTTCAGGTCCAGAAGCTCTTTCTATGCGTAGTTTTTTGGTTTTAGAAGGTCGACCCGTCAACTCGGATCTTGGTGTTCTCAAACACTTTTCGATCAGTTTTCCCGAAGCGCGGGATGCAGTTCTACATGTCATTGTTGTTACTAACATTGCTACTAGGCTACTGCGAGGTATAGCCTGCAATTTCCGTTTTTTTTTTTGCTGTTTTTTTCACATTTTCCCTCATTGTTCTAGTTGCCGACAAAAGAACTAAGTTAAAGGAGAAATTTCTCGTATCAGTATAATGAAATCCTGAACGCGTTTTTGTGATGCCCACCTACTGTATTCTGATATCTGTACCCCCTTGTTCTGAGAAATACTCGGTAGAAAGAATGCCTTTTTC